ACTGTGGCTGGATTCACATTCACATAGTCAAGCTAGGACATTTCAACAACAGTGAATTACTAGATATCTTTTTTTTTTTACTGAAATGAAATGAATGAATGGGTTTGTATCGTTTGTATGATATTTATTGCGACCGGGTTATTCGCGTCAGCACTGCCATGTCAGCGGTTAGTATGTGGCGCTAGTCACGTGAATCCTGTGTATAGGACTGAAAGAGATGATTGACAACCTTCAATTCGCTTCTCTGAATCGCGAATTACTAGGTCTGTGTTGCTAGGGTAACGTTGCCTGAAACACTGCAGCAATAATTATTTATAATAAAATGAAAAGTCAAGTGCAAGGCGAAAGTAAGATTTGTGAAACTGTGCAGCTATTAAAAAACAATAAGCGATCTTCCCATTTGCAATGTTAACGGTGCATAATTTCTCGTTGCCTTTACTCTAATTCTCTTGCCAAACATTTTTGTCTGACAGTTTCTTTTTTTTCCCGGACGATCACACTATACGAACTACTGATACTCCTGGGTTCAAACCATTTACTGAGAAGTATTTTGATTTAGAGACATGCGCCGAACCTTGAAACCCTCCCTTTAACGACAAATGGAATACGTAATCATGCTATCAAAAATAGGGATGGCGTGGGTAGACAATAGCAGAGTCTACTGTTTTACAACTATAGATTCTGGTCGACTAGGGAACGATTACGTGTTTCAAGGTTCGGCGCATGTCTCTAAATCAAAATACTTCTCAGTAAATNAAACGTCAGTCACCAACAACAGTTCTTTTCAGAACTACACTCATCCGGACGATCACACTATACGAACTATCAAAATACTTCTGTTCGCTTCTTATCAATGTTATCGCTTTAAAAACCCCACTCAAATGTAGTTCAGTAATCACATGCCATAGTTAGTCGTGGCAGAATGACGGATGACCAAAATTCTCAGAAGATTTCAGTGGATCATGTTACTGACCCTGTCGATCGTTGAATTTAGTTTTGAGGCGTGCAATTTATTCTACAGTTGATTATTTTACGGCTACTTGCATGCGACATTAGGTAACTTGCTTACGATTGGTTCATAAACAATGAAAAACTGGGCCTGTGCCAAAAAGCGTGCACAGGCGAATAAGTGAAACAGACATGCGCCGAACCGAGAAACCCTCCCTTTAATAGTACGTTAGATGCCATACATGCTTTTTCAACAAACAAGCAAGTTTTCTCTAACAAGCTTTGTTTGGCATTCGCAATCCCTACTGGCTATGAGACTCCAGAGGCTTTCCGCTGTAAATACAGAGGTCTAAAGTTATTTCAAGGCTTGATATCCACCAAGAAAGTGCTAAAAATTCCGAATACCCCCTACAACGGTTCTCCTACAATAGACAGTCTAACTCTGAAACACAATCCCAGGGCAACACACTGTCAACTCGCTTCTGCTATGTATCGTATCGATTTCCCCGTAACTCTCCCTCTCCCGCTGGGGTGTGTGCGGCGTCAATCATTGTCAAGTTTGCAAGGTCACGGTGGCCTCTGAAACAGAACCTTTCTTTAGTTATTCGGCTCGATTGTTAGGTATGGTTGGCGAAATGGTGCAAAATTCACAAAGTTTATATTCATTCACATTTAATGTTGTTATTATTATTCACGAATATATTTATTCACATTCAACAACTAAATTTATATTCAAGAAATATATTCATTCACATTTAACGACGTATTTCGTATTCACGAACATATTTACTCACATTTACGGGATGTATTCATTCACATTCAACGGTATATATTCATTCACATTCACGATCGAGTAAATATATTCGTGAATACGAAATACGTCGTTAAATGTGAATGAATATATTTCTTGAATATAAATTTAGTTGTTGAATCTGCATAAATATATTCGTGAACAATAATAACAACATTAAATGTGAATGAATATAAACTTTGTGAATTTTGCACCATTTCGCCAACCATAGTTAGGCAACTTCAATGTGAGACAAAGTCCTAAGAACCCGACTAAACATATCATGTGACCACAACTTTGCGTGACCAGCGGTGAGAAACGAACATCAAGCTGTTACTTTCAGCCCGCCATGTTGGACTGAAACATTGAGAAATTTTAATAACACGCAGATCCGAATAAGTGGAGAGTTATTTTTAATGCGCTGTTACAATGTCTGAAATCGAGTACAAGAGCTTAAAACTTGCAATAAGTAAGAGACTTGACGAACAGAACATACTCGGGGACATACTGTGTTTGTGCGAAGGAAAGATTGCGTCTGGTAGCGAACACGACATCCAGAATGCTTGGTCGTTGTTTAAAAAACTGGAAGAACAGAATAATCTAGGAGCTGATCGCCTGGAAGATATGAAAGAGTTACTCAAAGGTGTCGGGGAGTGGTCTCTCAACGAAAAAGTTGAAAAGTTCGAGAGAAAAAGACAGGAATATAGCCGCCTACTTAAACAGATCATTCTGGTACTCGACGAGCTCAATGATGTGGAAAGACTGCTTGCCATTTGCCGAGGAAAGATATCGGAAGAAAGTGAGCGCCATATTCAAGATGTTCGCTCATTATTTAAAGAGCTTGAAAACCAGAACAACTTAGGAATTCACCGACTGGGCATCTTGAAAGAGATTCTGACTGAAACGGAGAATCATGATCTCCTCAAGGTAGTGGAGGAGTTCGAAGAACGAAGAAAGCAAGAAGATGAGCTTAAACGGAAGGAGGNGCTCATTATTTAAAGAGCTTGAAAACCAGAACAACTTAGGAATTCACCGACTGGGCATCTTGAAAGAGATTCTGACTGAAACGGAGAATCATGTTCTCCTCAAGGTAGTGGAGGAGTTCGAAGAGCGAAGAAAGCAAGAAGATGAGCTTAAAAGGAAGGAGGATGATTCTAAAAGGAGAAAAGGTATTTGTTTCTTTTAATTCATTCATCCAAGCACTCGCAGGTATAGGATAAACTTTGTGAGCTGGAAAAATATGCCGTGTTTAGTACTTGCTTTAACCACGCAGACAAGCTAAATGTTTCGGTGGCCTTCCAGGTGTCTGTGACAGTTAATATTTTATACGTTGAAAGTTTTGAAGCAAAGTTTGTTCGCAAACGTTTTGAAAAAAGTCTGATTTACAAAGCAAAGGAAATCAGTGTAAAGATCAAATGGCATTTATTATTTTTTTTATTTCGAAACTGCAAATTCTACAAACTGATGGAAAATAATTTATAATAAATTCTGCCAATTCACGATTTATGTGCTCCACTGAGTTTCAATAAAAGCAAAGTCAAACCGGCTTTTCTGAATGCCAATCTCGCTTGCTGATTTTTGTTGGAGCCTATTTTAGGCATGGCAATCTATTCCCAGGTTTGAATTTATTTCAGATCCTGATTAAAATCCATTATGACACGGCCACCCTGATCTGAAAATCGTACCTCAGTCCGCACGAATATATTAGCATTTCTTAATGGCCAATTTCCTCCATGGCGGCCTCACGCACTCCCCTGAGGTGTTAGAAGGATGATCAGCTTCCCCTACACGGGAAATCATGGTAGTTGTCAGTATTCATGATCTTGGACTGGGTAATGAAATAAAAAGCAAGGTACTTTTCGTGTATGCTCGCATGATCCGAACAATAAGGAGATTTATAGAACACTATCAACTCAGATTTGCAAGTAGCTTATTTATACCCGTCCTTTCTTCCCCTAACTGTTTAATTTCAGAGGACTTGAATGATCAAATTAAGCGAGATTTGAACTAGCAAACTTCTAGCTGAAGAAACTTTGGTTGGTTGAAAGGAATGAGAAGGTAGCATTATGCTGTGTTTGTTTGACTATTTGCAACTTTTGTTGATTCGGCGTATTTTGCTGGTTTCAGCTGATTGCTGGTTTCAGTTGAGAGGTATAAAAAGTTTTACTTTACCACAGGCAGCCCAGACGTTGAATACGATTAATACGTGATATTATGCTGTTGGCGGTTGCGTTACAATTTTAGCCGTCTATAAGGCAATGTATGAGAATGCTTCGAAAATGACTCTAAATGCTACGTGTAGAAAATAATTTGAATAAAATGGCTTACCTTGTGTTTGCATTGCGTTATTTT